AATGAAAAGGATTCTGTTTTTATATTACTCAACTCAGTATCCCATAATTTATAAATAAACTTCGAGCGGTTTCCCGAAAAGCCTTCGCATTCGAGGTTACAAGTAGCTGATGAAAAACAAGCGAAATAAAATGAATTCATGCTATTCTGAACAAATATTTGTTCATGCTCTGCTAAAGATGACGAATGGAGCCGTATATATGAAATATCAGTTTAATAAAGAAAATTATGCTCTAAATTGACAAAAAAAACTACTTCAGATTTTTAAGTGTATCGCTATTTGTATAGTTTTGAACTGCAAAAACTCGTTATTATGTGAAGTGTCCGAGAGTTGATGCTGATACTCAGTTTTCCTATACACAAGGATAACCGACTACTGAAATGAAAAGAATGGGAGTAAATAAGGAAGTTTAGAGGCTAAATCGAATCAAAACATTTGTGTACCCAATCACATATTTATATGTTCTTTAGAAAACTAAGCGAACAATAGTATGTCTTATAATTTAGATTTGAGAGACATTTCTTGGCCAATCCTATCCCTTATTATTTGGCCAATTTCTGATTGACCCAATGTATTACTAGTTATTTTGAGAAACCAACAGTTGCTCGAAATTGATGATGCTAGTTTTTGGAATATAGTTCACTGATTTAAAAGTCTCAGGTGAAAAGTTTAAAGTTCATAGGTTATATAAACCACCGTGAAGACCGAGGTGATAATAATCAACTTATGACTCCAAAAAATACATAATTTACTCTCAATAAAGTTAAATAATATTGCTCTGTATTAAAAAATTAGCTAAATTGAATAATATGAAAATTGAAATTAACAACTTCTAGATTGAATTTCATAAACACGTTTCAAAATGTTTCGCTCCATCTTATATAAATTGAAAGATCTCTGAGTTATAACAATATAGAATCAAGAAGGAACAAATCTAGTGAAATAGTATTTCATCATGGCTCTACACTAACGTCTATATTTATATCTATCTATCTATCTATATACAATAATGCAATAACAGTCATCGGGTAGATATGTTACGTAATAATTATATAATGACATATCGATTATAAACAAACATTGAGTGATTGGAAGAAAGAGGACCATAAAAATCAAAGTAATTATTCGAAAATCAAGCAGTCGCTACGTTGTATAATATAAACAAAGAGAACGAACTAACAAAATAAGCAAGGATAGATAGTGGCCAGCAGTGGAATTCAGGACGCGCGTTTCGTCCTATTCGGGACTCGTCAGCCAGAATTAAGGCTATATCGAGGTAATACGCACAGTACACACATATGCCAATAATAGGCTGATCAATTGCAGTCCTAAGCATCAATTAGAAGATTCAACCAAACAATACCAAGTGAATTTGAACTAAAAAATATTAGGATGAATGATCAGTAGTATAATAGTTATGTAAGAATCAAAAGACGAATGTTGAGAATAAATGAAAGACAAAAAAAGGAAGAATTACAAAAGTAGTTTATCAAAGTTTTGTTACAAACTCCACTATACCGATGGCCAAGGTAGCAATAGTGGACAAGTTTCTAATATAAAACACTTGACAACTATTCAATCTTTTTAATAGTTGAGATCATGAATTAATTGAAGCTAGACCACCATAGAAAACCTGGAAAAACTGGACGGCCGTTCCGTCTTATTATAGGACTCCTCCTACCTCGCGAGATTAGAACCCAGGACCTATAAGTTTCGCACGCGATCGCTTGACCTCTAGACCACTTAGCCTTTCCATCAAAGATATAACTTGATATGATCTAAGTCAGATATTTGATGATTAGTGTCCATTATTATTATTATTATTATTATTATTATTTCACTGATTGTTAAGCCGATTTTTGTATATAAAAACTATACTTAGAATTATTATAATTAAATCAATTCATTTGAATAAAGAACATAGTACTAGATATTAATTGACATCTTGTAACAAACCGACCAATAAGAATACAAGATTATTATATAATTATTGATTATTGATTTTGATAACAAATCAAAATCCAATATCTAAAATCTTAATTTTGATTGGTTGAAATAAACAACATGAATTCATGATTACTTATATATACATTTCTAATAACTAAATTGTTCAGACAAATTTTGGAGTATTCGATTGTACGTTTTTGTTTATGTAAATGAATGTTTATGGGTAATTTACATGAAACATTAAAATTTATTGATCATAATTTTTAATTTATGTTGAAAGTTACATATTTCAGTGATAATTAAGATCAGTCTGAGATACAGGTACATCCAACCATTAAGTCCTATACAAGACAAAAAGCGTGTTCTGGATTCCGCTTTTACCAATATTCCATCTGTTCCATGTAAACTCGTAATGATATACTAAGCTTTTCTAGATAAGACTGTCAAAATCAATGACTTGGGACGACTCTTAGAAGATTGACTTCTTTTTTCAATGTTTAATAGCAGTAACACAATCTTTGCATAATTATTACGTTTATTAAAAGTATAAACATCTTATGTGTTTGTTGATGCCTCGATTGTTGCATTTGTCTGGATTGAGTCTCAGTTAGCCGTCTAAAATTGACTTCATCTTAGCGATGTAATCAGCTGTGTTCAAAAAGGACAATAACTGGACGTTTATTCTGATATAAAATCATCAGTTTGTAATTTGCTTAGTGTTTCATAGTGTTGTTGGGTGTCTTTTAGATAGAATATTCGACTTTGACGTGAGTGAAATGAAATATTAGCTGAAAATATCAATTAGCTTTGATTTGAATCATCCCTTTTTTCCCTCATTCACTAGATGCATAACTTTTAATTGTTCAAATAAATTTTTGAATTAAGCCACCGTATCGATCCTCGCAGTATTTGTATTTAGTATATAAAATTTAAGTCCCAATGAAAAGGATTCTGTTTTTATATTACTCAACTCAGTATCCCATAATTTATAAATAAACTTCGAGCGGTTTCCCGAAAAGCCTTCGCATTCGAGGTTACAAGTAGCTGATGAAAAACAAGCGAAATAAAATGAATTCATGCTATTCTGAACAAATATTTGTTCATGCTCTGCTAAAGATGACGAATGGAGCCGTATATATGAAATATCAGTTTAATAAAGAAAATTATGCTCTAAATTGACAAAAAAAACTACTTCAGATTTTTAAGTGTATCGCTATTTGTATAGTTTTGAACTGCAAAAACTCGTTATTATGTGAAGTGTCCGAGAGTTGATGCTGATACTCAGTTTTCCTATACACAAGGATAACCGACTACTGAAATGAAAAGAATGGGAGTAAATAAGGAAGTTTAGAGGCTAAATCGAATCAAAACATTTGTGTACCCAATCACATATTTATATGTTCTTTAGAAAACTAAGCGAACAATAGTATGTCTTATAATTTAGATTTGAGAGACATTTCTTGGCCAATCCTATCCCTTATTATTTGGCCAATTTCTGATTGACCCAATGTATTACTAGTTATTTTGAGAAACCAACAGTTGCTCGAAATTGATGATGCTAGTTTTTGGAATATAGTTCACTGATTTAAAAGTCTCAGGTGAAAAGTTTAAAGTTCATAGGTTATATAAACCACCGTGAAGACCGAGGTGATAATAATCAACTTATGACTCCAAAAAATACATAATTTACTCTCAATAAAGTTAAATAATATTGCTCTGTATTAAAAAATTAGCTAAATTGAATAATATGAAAATTGAAATTAACAACTTCTAGATTGAATTTCATAAACACGTTTCAAAATGTTTCGCTCCATCTTATATAAATTGAAAGATCTCTGAGTTATAACAATATAGAATCAAGAAGGAACAAATCTAGTGAAATAGTATTTCATCATGGCTCTACACTAACGTCTATATTTATATCTATCTATCTATCTATATACAATAATGCAATAACAGTCATCGGGTAGATATGTTACGTAATAATTATATAATGACATATCGATTATAAACAAACATTGAGTGATTGGAAGAAAGAGGACCATAAAAATCAAAGTAATTATTCGAAAATCAAGCAGTCGCTACGTTGTATAATATAAACAAAGAGAACGAACTAACAAAATAAGCAAGGATAGATAGTGGCCAGCAGTGGAATTCAGGACGCGCGTTTCGTCCTATTCGGGACTCGTCAGCCAGAATTAAGGCTATATCGAGGTAATACGCACAGTACACACATATGCCAATAATAGGCTGATCAATTGCAGTCCTAAGCATCAATTAGAAGATTCAACCAAACAATACCAAGTGAATTTGAACTAAAAAATATTAGGATGAATGATCAGTAGTATAATAGTTATGTAAGAATCAAAAGACGAATGTTGAGAATAAATGAAAGACAAAAAAAGGAAGAATTACAAAAGTAGTTTATCAAAGTTTTGTTACAAACTCCACTATACCGATGGCCAAGGTAGCAATAGTGGACAAGTTTCTAATATAAAACACTTGACAACTATTCAATCTTTTTAATAGTTGAGATCATGAATTAATTGAAGCTAGACCACCATAGAAAACCTGGAAAAACTGGACGGCCGTTCCGTCTTATTATAGGACTCCTCCTACCTCGCGAGATTAGAACCCAGGACCTATAAGTTTCGCACGCGATCGCTTGACCTCTAGACCACTTAGCCTTTCCATCAAAGATATAACTTGATATGATCTAAGTCAGATATTTGATGATTAGTGTCCATTATTATTATTATTATTATTATTATTATTATTTCACTGATTGTTAAGCCGATTTTTGTATATAAAAACTATACTTAGAATTATTATAATTAAATCAATTCATTTGAATAAAGAACATAGTACTAGATATTAATTGACATCTTGTAACAAACCGACCAATAAGAATACAAGATTATTATATAATTATTGATTATTGATTTTGATAACAAATCAAAATCCAATATCTAAAATCTTAATTTTGATTGGTTGAAATAAACAACATGAATTCATGATTACTTATATATACATTTCTAATAACTAAATTGTTCAGACAAATTTTGGAGTATTCGATTGTACGTTTTTGTTTATGTAAATGAATGTTTATGGGTAATTTACATGAAACATTAAAATTTATTGATCATAATTTTTAATTTATGTTGAAAGTTACATATTTCAGTGATAATTTAGATCAGTCTGTCAGTCAGCTACAACTTAGGACCAGGCACATATATGCATCGGTCCAAGTTGACATACCTCATTAGCACAACAACATGAACCCCGAATTCATAGAAGTAGTTAATTTGGTGGTGTTAATATATGAAAGAAAGGTGCTCTTGCCTTTAACAGCACTCAAGATAATTTAAGTAGATACTATAAGTTCAACTCTGATATTCAGATAAATTGGACTAATACAATATATATATATATATATATATATATATATATATATATATATATATGGATTAATCAAAGGAATACTTTCTATCTTTACCTAGAGCAACTTAGAACCTGTTGATTATCATAGAAGAACTTTGGTCTAAATTAGAACGAATAGTTTCACAGTATTTGGGCACCGAATTGATGTAGGACATTAAATAGGAATAATATATTTGTAAAATCTCAAAGAATGAATTTGAAGTAAAACCAACGGTTCGTCTGGCAATCTGGTCCAAGCCTTTTCAAAAATGATCATTTAACATGTTTCAAAGTGTACTGTTAGGAAACATGATAGATATATCTTAGTTGTAGATTAAATTTCTTGCATGTTTGAATTATTCATCTGGTAATTTGGATTTGAGATTTGAGATTATCCTCGAAGTCATTAAACCATCATTAAAACTTACTACTGAACTGATTTCTGAATATGGATTATATCATAAATTTACAATATGCTTCCATGATTATAATTGGTTATTTTACAATACTATTTTTATTACAGATTCTATTCTTGATATATTGATCTAATCGTAAAAGAAGTTTACTTTAGTTGAATTCAACGAAATATGGCTGGAAATTTAGGATTTAATGTTGGGTCATGTGGTTCAAATGTAAGTTGATTTATTCTTAATTAATGTTATTTTGGTTAGAATCATACCTTATCATATTTTCGCTAATTAATTTATTTAGTTGAGATCATGAGTCAATTGAAGCCAGATCACCATGGAAAACCTGGAAGCGCTGAACGGCCGTTTCGTTCTATTGTGGAACACCTCAGCAGTGCACATCCGCGATCCCGCCTCGCGAGACATTAACACCGTTGGATTTCGCTCAACCCAGTGGTCTATCGGTTAAGTGCTCGCGCGCGAGACTGGTAGGTCCTGGGTTCGAATCTCACAGGGTGGGATCGTGGATGCTCGCTGCTAAGGAGTCCCATAATAGAACGAAACGGCCGTTCAGTGCTTCAAAGTTTTCCATTGCGGTCTAGCTTCATTTGACTCATGATCTCAACTATATAAAATTGCTAAATTCTACACAAAACCCTCTTCTGATAATTAATTTATTGACTTAATGATTTTCAAAAAATCTTGTTTTACTATTTCTCTGAATTCTAACCTTTGATTCTTTAATATAATGATATATAACTCATCTGTTGGTAGGTAGTCTTTACTTTAGATTAATTTCATTTAGGATACCATTAAAAATGAAGGTATAGTGAACAGTTGTTTTATCCTCTTTCATGAATTTTCAGCAATGCGCAGCTGTCATTCCATTAAGGGTACATTCTAGTATGTTAAGGTCTCTCAGTGAACACCCAACCACTAGGACCGTGTGATCAAGCTCTAATAATATAATTTTTGTCGTCACCGATTTAAGACACTGTGTGATGATCATTCAGCCCTATTGGTGATAACTGTTTCATCCTTTACATGTTTGAACATCTAACAACCATAACTTCTCACTGGAACTTTAGAGATTTCTCAAAGTAAATCACTAGTGAACTGGCCAATATATTATAGTGATTTCAATAGATGAGATCATGAGTCAATTGAAGCTAGACCATCATGGAAAACCTAGAAGCACTGGACGTTGGTTTAGCTTCAGTTGACTCATGATCTCAACTATTAAAATTACTATAATATCCACAAAATCCCATTCTGATATTGACCAATATATGTTTAAGTATAACTCATTCATCAAGCATAAGTTTATACACCCAGCTTTGAACGAAACTAACTGTCTGAAGGTTAGGGATGTGACCCTACTTTTAAAAATGATGTAGATGAGATGAAATCAAAAACTGTATCTCAGCAGTGAAAATATTAGTGCATTGATTATTATACCATTGTTATATCTTTTATTTATCAACTTTATTAGCTCTTGAGAACATCATGGATCCATAAAAGGATCTTTTGAGACAGCTTTTTTGTAGATATCTAAGGGTTTATCTTACTGATTTCGTTATTCAATGAATGACTACTAATAGTATTTTATGTTGATGAAAACATATGTCAATAGTAACCATTAAAAAAAATACATGATGATTAGCTCATTTTTAGGGCTGTTTGTGCCAGGTTAACGTTTACTATACCTATGAATCGACCTTAAGTTATGATCTTAATAATGTTGAATTAAAATACAAAATACTCCAAATAATACGAAATGTATCAAAATTTTAATTTGAATAAATGAAAACATCGTGGATTGGTTGGAGCTAGCCATTAACACCGTTGAATGCCGGCCAGCTCAGTGGTCTATCGGTTAAGTGCTCGCGCGCGAGACTGGTAGGTCCTGGGTTCGAATCTCGCGAGAAGGGATCACGGATGCGAACTGATGAGGAGTCCCACAATAGGACGAAACGGCCGTCCAGTGCTTCCAGGTTTTCTATGGTGGTATAGCTTCAATTGACTCATGATTTCAACTATACATGAAAACATAACAGACAACTAGTCAATTGTTACAATTTAGGATTCCTTCATCTTTCTGATTATTTTAAATAATTTCAGTTATGTAATTTTCTTGTTTACAGTGGCACTTGGTTATAATAACAAACGTTTCAGTAGTTGCAACTATCTAACTAATATCTATTACAACTATGTTGTTGCTTATTTAGTAAGCAGAAACAAATATTTCTACAACAGTTTTATGCTACATCTCATATTTTAATCCATACCATTAACTCCCAATGTTATATATATATATATTGAGTAGTCATCAGTGTTCAGTTTGTTTAGTTGTTAGCGCTGATATAACTCTGTTGGTTAAGTTGCAATGTGACCACTAGTCTAAGTGATTTGACATCGCTTGCACTGCTTCAATGTTAGGTAGTAGTTGGACAGTTACAGAACGAATATTTCGTGCTCATAGTTTGAAACTGTGAAACTAGGTGATCCTGGTTCGAATCCAACAGGAATCATCAGATTCATGATTAAGCCAGTTGCACCTCGTTACAGAATTTCAAAATACTCGAACCTATGTTCAAGGTTTCTTGTCGACGGCTTCCAACCGTTGGACATGATATATATATATACTACTTCTATGATAAAGGATTACATCCATATATTTTGTATACTGTAATTGATCATAAATCAGTCATATAGAGAAGCAAAGTAAAAATCCAAATATATAGCCAAATAAGTAACTCTGGTTTGATTATAAATTTTGTTTGACAGTTCCATATCTCACTATGTTTCTGTATTAGCATCAATACTGGGGTGCAGATAAATCCAGATGGCAAGTCCCAGATAATACAAAACACTGTTAGTCACTATCCAGTTCTGTTTGAAATAAATAATTCTTAAAAGTTCCCATGATGTATTGTATTTGTGCTTCATATGGGTGGATCAGTTGAAACTTGTTTTTTGTTCCAAATTAGTATATTTTGGAAACATTGAGAAATGCGTTGTACTAAACATGTTTCTTTCAAGTTTTGAATTTCGTAACAGTACTCACTGTTGATCGAACAAAGGATTGAATGGAGTAGCTTCAAGGTCTATGGCTAGTATAGGATATTTTATACCATTGAGTTGAAATCTAGTAATCTAAATTTATTAATGTTTCTTACTCTTTTGTTTATTTAATTACTTTTTAGTTACATCCAACTCTGTTCCCTGCATCAGATTTCAATCCAGAAAATGATTGTGAACGATTAAGAAATGCTATGGCAGGATTAGGGACAAATGAACAAGATTTAATTGATATAATGGGTCATCGTTCCGCAGATCAACGTGCAGTTCTTGTAAAAAAATTTAAATCACTGTATGGAAAAGATTTGATTGAAAATTTTAAATCTGAACTTAGTGGACACTTTTACGATACTATGGAAGCATTGTGTTTAAGTCCATCAGAATTCGATGCCCGTGAATTACACAGAGCTATGAAAGGAGCCGGTACAAATGAATCTGTACTGATTGAGATTCTATGTACTCGAACAAATCATCAATTGAAGCAGATAAAAGAAGCTTATAAACGTAAGTAAAATATAAAATCTTGATAATATCTCGCTTAAACATTGCCCTGTCTACTGATTTTTAAAGTTGAACTTTCCAATATTTCCACTTGTTTCAGAGTGGTTGGATAACTGATCAACATTATCATACCTCTCCTGCTAATTACCTCTCAATATTGAATACAATGTCATATCATAATTGAAATCAGTACTCATACTACATACATTTTTGGGTGGATTCTATTTATTGTCCAGGACTTGTCGTTAGCACTGAATAAACCCGTCCAAGATTTGAATAGCAATTATGAGTGTAGTGGATGGTTATGCAGTGTCTAATCTTCGGAAGAATATGAGTTTCTTCAAAGAAACGGATACTCCTAACTGATAACTCCTAGCATGCAACAAATCCATATATACTGCTCTCTATAGATCACCTCCAAGTACCTTACGTCTTACAGTCTTTCAATAAAGAATAGTAAAACTCTCTTAGGTAATTTTGTGGTTCTTAAAATGAACCACATAAAATAAGATTAAAATGAGTAAATGCAGATTACCTAATTTTGTTGATATCGTGAACTGATTTAAGTTAGATAACCATTGAAAACCTCGAAGGATTGGTTGACTGTTTCACTGAAGCATATGACTATTCCGCAACACTTATCCAAAACCCTAATGGAAGTCAGAATATGGACATCTAGCTTCAAGAATGAATACTTAATCATCAAACTACTTAGACAACATCCAGCAGTGTACATGTGTGAGGCAGTTGCCCACCGAAGACAATGGAAAATGGCCACCAAATATCGCAAATAGAATAAAATCAGACATACACACCACCGGGTTCTGGCTCACTGCCCGAACTCGAGTTCAGAGGTCCCGGGTTCGATCTTCTTTTTTGGAGTCGTGGGTGTTCACTGCCAAGACAGAAAAAGCTATTCAGTACTTACTGTCTTTCAATCGATGTCTAATTTATGTCGGTTCTTGACATCAATAAAGCACAATAGTGTTAGTGGAGATGATAAGAAACTTGAAATTATCTAGAAACAGAAGAGACAAAATAAGAGATAACCTTAGTTACTTTGTGGCCTTCAGCTACATCTTTGACAAATCCTATTTCTGAAAAGTCATACCACAGTTTCTGATTATGTTATTTTCTACAATGGACGGTTTTGATTTATTCAGTAAGATATTCTCTCACTTAATCAGTAAATTTGCTCTTCGAAACTTATTCAGCTAAAACAAGAGAATCACTTCAAAAGGCAGATTATCAGTTTCAGTTAATTCTGTCATACAGACCACTTATGTGCTTAAAAAACACCATTATAGAAACTAAATCTAAGAAACAAATATATAACAATCTCAAATCCTAATACTTTATGTTTTTAGAGATTTCTAAATTTACAGGCCACTTCAGGGTCATACTTTAGATAGACAACTACTAAAAACTAGGAAGCATCGGATTTCGTCCCAGTACAGAACATCTCATCAATTTTCATTTACGACTCTATCATAGATTGAATACTAAACTTTATGTTGTTACTTTTTTCAATATATATATTCCTTGTCAATGCATAGAGTCAGATGTTATTGTGATTATGAAATGGAATAACTTTTGTAATTGTTTATCATAAGTTTCATTAAAATGTATCTGTTTTCTTTGTTTTCATAAAATGGATTTAATCGATTCATTATTGTTTTTTACTATCCAAGTCAATATTACATCTTTCTCTATTCACATGAAATGTCACACAGTTTTTTTTCCTCCAACATCTATCTAGTTACAAATGCAGTTGAAAAAGTATATAACTCTATACCATTCCATGAATACACTTTTTAAATATTAGCGGTTTCCAAGAGAAAAAAATATATATACGTATGTCTAGTGTACTGTAGTGATGATAAAAGAATAACTTAAATAATGACATATTTACCTATCAACTGACAACATAATGTTGATAGTCAGGATATGTTTATTTGAGTAGTAAAATCATTTAAATATTTAGTGAATATTATAAGCAGAGATGGGTAGTGGCTAGCAGTGGAGCCCAGTTTGACGCGCGTTTTGTCCTATTTGGGACTCATCAGCTTGATGTACCTGCATCCACTTAAGTGGATAACGTGATGATGTTTGAATCGAACGGTACTGAGTTCGAGTCCCAGAATGAACATCAACTCTGAGATGCAGATACATCCAGCTGACGAGTCCTAAATAAGACGAAACGCACGTTAGAATGGATTCCACTGCTAGCCATTATCCATCTTTGTTTATAATGCTTGTGAATTAAGGCTACATCGAGGTAATACGCACAGTATGCACATATGCTAATAAGAGACTGATCAATTTCAGTCCTAAACATCAATGGGAAGATTCAAACCAAACCTTAACAAGGGAATTTATTAAACATTAATGTTTTGTATGCTGTTCTACTGGAGTAAATACTTAATTACTTCTAAATTTCATTGAATTCCATAATCCATTCGTCTGAAGTTGCTTATCAACAAGTACTAATGACGAATAGATGATTAAGAAAAATGTATTTTTTTAAGTTATTATTCAGTTTATTTGTTTAAATAAGTGCAATCAGCATAAAACTTTGAAAATGGGTTAACGAATTCAACATTTATTGGATTGTGCTTATCCCAATGACCATATAATTAATTACCTGAATAGTGATCTAAAAGAGGGTGATAAACACCTTCTACCTATTAGGCTTACTTAATTACTTATTTACTCCTGTTCATCCTCGTAGTAGAATATAGGTTACACACGAGCATTCTTCATCGAACTTTGTCCTGTGAAATCCTTTCCAGTTTTTTCTAGTTGCTACTCATTTTCTTGATCTCTGATTTCAATTCCCGACGCAATGTCTTTTTTTGTCTTCCCCCTTTGCGTTTTCATTCAAGATTCCAAGTTAGCGCTTGCCTCATGATGCAGTTTGATGATTCCCATAATATATGTCCTATCCAACTCCAAAATCTTTTGCTAATTTCCTCTTTAGGTTGAAGTTCGTTTGTTTTCTCTCACAATAGACTTTCGCTGGTGATATCCAGTCAATGGACATTCAGTATCTTACTTAGATAATTGTTTATAACTACTTGTACCTATTTGACGATGGTTATGGTAGTTCTCCAAGTTTCAGCTCCGTACAATAGAACTAACTGTCTTGACGTTTGTATTAAAGATTCACTGAACTACTGAGTTCAGATAGCCATTATTTATACTAGCGAGTACTATGTTGTGTAAATATCAACAACGAGATACAGGTACATCCGGCTGATGTCTCAAAATGGGATGAAATAAGCATTCTGGATCCCGCTGTCAACAAGACTCCATCTACTGTATTCAAGGTTTTATTCGTTTATAAGCCATTGTTCATTTTTCTTTCTTGTGAATTTCTGAATAATAAAAATAAATATCGTAAATAACACAAATAAATTACCTTGAATATTATTGAATTCTTCCGAGGTTTTAACTAATACATCTTCATTTAAAACTTCTCTCTTCTATAAACCACCCCTTAGGGAGGGGGTAACTATTGAAATGTTGTGTATTAATCATCCGATCTATTGGATCAACACGCCTCGTTACTAATAAAAGAATCTCTTAAACATTCATAGAACATAACTATAAAGACTCAATTTACACCAACAGATGACAATCCAATAAAGGATTCTCAAAGTTTTATAATTACAATAGATCCTATGATGATAATGAATTGAGGTTTATCATCGCATAAATTTACAATATAAAAAACACAAATACGTAATATGTACGCCCCCAAATGCCATGGTACGGTCGAGAGTGGGAAGAGTCCACTCTCCCTCTAGAAATCCTCTCATATGGCCACGCGTATATAGCATCTGCCAAGAAAGTCCTACTCACTGACTTCTCGTGACATTACTGTTGCTTACGAAATTGAGAGGACTAAAAACGAATGTCCGGTGCTTTAACCGGGTTGGTGGACACGGAAAGTTCACCTAGGGGAGTTGGAAAACCCTGATCCCAAACCAATGGTGTACATGGGCTCTAGTATCCTGAGGGAACAAATAGCGTATGAATCAACCGTTGATCACCGGCTACCATGAAACTGCATCTCCTTAAGATGCTCCACTGACTTGTCAATTAGATCTTTAGGTCAAAGGCTCCGGTTGTGGCGCCGTAAGAAAACCACCTGCTTCAGTTTGAGCAACTGGGCAGTATCACAACCCCCACACAAATCGAATGAGATTTGTGTGGCGCATACATATCTGGTGCTTCCTTGTACCAATATTTATGTGTTTAAATAAATGAATAAATAAATGTAATATGTACAATTAATTACATTTTTCTTAATAATAGGGGTTTCCTAATTTACTTTAATAATTGTAGTATTCACTGGACATAATCTTGAAAGTGATGTAAGTGGCGATACATCTGGAGATTTTAAACATTTATGTATTGCATTGTTACAAGCAAGCAGAGATGAATCTACACATGTTGATCTACAACTTGCACATAAAGATGCTGAAGCCCTATATCAAGCAGGTGAGAAAAAATGGGGAACTGATGAATCAAAGTGAGTATAAATTATTTCATACAAGTTATTTAATATAGTTCATTTTTTATATTATAAAGTCAATCACAACTATAAATAATTTTAGTTGTTTGGGTAAGTTTATCTAGTCATGTTGTATCAGAGCAACGTCGTCGTCAGCTATATAAGTTGAAATCCTGACTTCATTATGCTGTTTAATTTAAACATAGCATATATTAAGGAATGTGATGATCATTGTGCTACATGCAAAATGTTTAAGCTCTAAATTCATTTTGTATTGTTTGTTTGAATCTTTCCATTGATGTTTAGGACTGTGAGTGGTCAGTCCCAAATCGGACGAAACACGCGTCTCTGGATGTATATAGAAGTGTTTTATCCATAGTTCCATCGATACCAAAAGTTATCTTTGATATTTGTTTATTTGTCTTTCAAAATTTCAAGTCATTGAACAACTTCTGTATTAAGTACACTTCTGTTTACTCGTCACTGAGCCACACTCCAGTTGCTTGAGTGGTATCCGGCTGGATAAAGTAAATAAATTGGAACAAGGGTGAAGTCTGAAACGTATTGAGTAAAGATTTAGTACCTTATAACTAATAAGCTATCACCCATAGACTAAAAACAGATACTTTTGAAGGTTCAGTCACTTTATCATGCCCAAAACAGTTAATTATTGATTCCAGAATATTTCCCCGTTTATAAATCAGTTTGCTGCATAAGCCTTTGTTTCTGAATGGCTAGACGAAAATATTTATGACTTACTAGTTGAAACAATCGATTTTCAAACAGTTGTTTGAAGAGTTGGACCCTATTTTAGTTAACAATTTGTGGGTCCTAATGATATCACTGCTTTTTAGACAAAATTAAATCTGAAAACCAAATGCTTGTAACTGATAAATTGAAAGTTATAGAAAGACGTTTCTTCATCATATATTTGAGATGTCAGAGATCATTTTGTAGACGAAATTTTGTAAATAATGTCGATTCCTGTTGACATATGAGTATTGTAATGTATTTTAAGTACTCGAGGTGGATCCTGCGTCAGTAATTTAGAAGGTAAGCAACTACTATAATACAGGAGGTCCTGTGTTCGGCTCCTCAGGTTATAGACATACAGTACTGATTAATCCCATGTTAGGATGTAGTATCTGTCCAAGCTCTACTGGTTTTCAGTGGTTGTCTAAGATCAGTCCCTGATATGTTCAGGGTTTAAAGTGTGTTAATTTTATACTTATCTATGGTCTTCAGGTAATATTTGTTCTGAATTAAAGTGACTTTATTTATTTTTTATCATTTTGCAAATAATAGATTTATTCAAATTTTTGTTTCACGATCTCCTGAACACTTAAAAGCCGTATGTCGAGAATACAGTAATGTGAGTAAGAAAACTTTAGAAGATGCTTTAAAATCTGAAATGTCAGGAAATTTACTACAGGCTCTTTTGGCCATTGGTATGTCATTATTTTATTCACTTTGTTAGTCATATAATCAGAGTCACAATGATAATTATCGTTATAACATGTCGCTTTTAGCTCAAAGTTAGTTACCACTAAGATGTGTAGATTCACTTTTACAAACTAAATTTGTCAAAGATGTACAGCATAGTTTGCATCACAAACTTAATTTAGTTAGACGATTATGGAAATCAATGTAGCAATACATTTTCTCGTTTTCGTGATCGTGGGTCCGTACTGTAGAAGAGCGCAATACTAGAACGTAATAGCTGTCTAGTGTTTCCTAGTTTTTAATGGTTATCTAACTGAGGTCATTTCGCAATTTAAACTATAAAAATCAACAATCTTGACAAACAATAAGTAAGGAGATGTCATAAATGTGGACGTTTCAACTTGTTTCTCGTCTAGTACTTCTATTGACATACATCCACCGATGAGTAAAGTTTTATTTCGAATAACAGATAAAAGTTTCAGATCATAATGATAATGTCAGTTGGTTAGTTGTTGTTGTTCATCATGAACAAAGTAATACATATTAACCTGAAATATCTTTTTTATAACAGGCATTATAATCATATATCTGACCATTTTTATGTCAGTTAATCATGGATCATAACGGTTATCGCTTAAAGCATTAAACCATTCGTTGTCTGCCAATCTATGTCTTGTTTGGATGTGTGTTGTTGTGGGGATCTTTTAAATATTTGGTCAGAAAAAATAATGCAACTCAGTACTTGGTGACTCCTAGGTTTGGGTCTCAACTAAAATATTAATTCTGAAAATTAATAAATGAGATCAAATATGCTTTCTAATTACTCTACCAACTATTAGGATGTGCATAAGGAAGATATTAGTATATCAGATACTGAGATATTCAATTACAGTGGAGATTAGAGAGCTGTACTTTACTCACTGTTAGTGCGAAAGTATACTAGCGTTTATTCGAAGATCAATTTACGTATGTATGTATATGTCTGTATCGCGTTATATATACTAGTTTTTACAATTGTCAGTTTATTAGATTTGATGAAATCTAGATTTGTGGAGTTTGTAGTATTTTAACAGTTGAATTCATGAGTCAATTCAGTGCCGCCACTTTTTCAATGGTGGTGCAGCTTCTAGGTTTTCAATGGTAATCTAACATTGATTGATTTATAATCTTAATCAAAACATAAATTCTATACAGCAAATTATTCAGTAACCTCAAGTGGTATCCGACAATGTTGTCCACTATCCCCATTTTTGTTTAACTTCATTGTATACCTATTCCTGGAAATAACACTGTCCTCGACTGAATTTACAGGAATTGATCTCCTACCGAGAGGTCCACTAATCGACTTAGAATACGCAGATGACATAGTCCTGTTTGGTGAAGACGCTGACAAAATGCAGAGTCTGCTGTTAAAACTTAGTTGTTCGATTCTTACAGACTCTTAATAGTTCTTAAGTAGATATTACACAATGATGAAAAAAACTTTTCTCAAAAGATCATTTCAATAAAGTGTTTTTAACCCAAGTTCAAACATACTTTCTGTATAGATATTAAGGAAAATAATAATAAATTTTTTAATCACATGTTTGCAAAAACAAATCGATATTGTAGTATTATGTAATAATAATCAATCTGTAATTTCAGAAGGGGGTTTTGTGAATATTATAGTAATTTTATTAGTTGAGAGATAGTAACTCATTGAAGATAAGGGTGGACGGTTGCTCAATTTAGTGGATTGGTTGAAGTTAGACACCAAAAAATTTGGATGCCGGCCAGCTCAGTGATCTAGAAGTTATGCGTTTACGCGCGAGACCGATAGTTCCTGGGTTCGAATGTTGCAGAACGGAATCGTAGATACGTACTGCTGAGGAATCCCACAAAAGGGCGAAACGGCGTCTAGTGCTTCCAGGTTTTCCATGGTTGTCTAGCTTCAATTGCCTCATGATCTCAACTATTAAAATCTATAATTTGTTGTTCTTTTTTGTTTGTTTACATATAATAGCTTTTTCTTTGTTAACTAATTTATCATTCAGTTACAAGATATCCGTTTTAATACGAGTTATTTATTGATAGAAATAACTCTTTTCTAAATCACGTAATAATGAATATTTATTTCAGTCTATTTTTACTTTTCGTGATTTATCAAAGTAACACATTTGTAACATGTAGAAACGCATTAGCTATTTCATCATGTTTTAACAAACGGTTTATTAATAATTACATTTCAATGATAACAATTTAATCATTTGCTTAGAGCTTTGTGAACAATTAAAGTTTATCAGAAAAGGGAGGGGGACGGTTAAGCATTCGTGCACAGAGACAGATAGGTCCTGGGTTCGAGTCCCGCTAGCGGGATCGTGGATACTCAGTGCTGAGGAGTACCATACTATATCATACAATGATTTTAGATTTTCCATATTGGTCTAGCTTTAATTAACTCGTGAATTATACTTTAGATTAATCCATTTCTTACCTAACTAAGTTCTGGATATTTTTTGTACCGATGTAAATATTCATGGTTGTGCAATATAGGGAATTAACTGAAGTTAGCAATCGGAATTTTATTTGAGTGACATTAAGATTTTGTTCAATAATTCTTAAAAATATCTAATGATTTTGAGTTCGACTTTTATGTACATTTGTAAATATGCAGTGATGAGAAGTTTTGAAGTAAATCAGTTTTCTTATTGATGTTAGCAAGTTAGAAAAATAATAACTTCATACTGACAAATATCAGATTCTCCCTATTTTGTTGAATATTCATTTTGTTATCAGAAAGAGGTTTTGCGGATATTATAGTAATTTAATAGTTGAGTTCATGAGCCAATTGAAGTTAAATCACCTTGGAAAATCTGAAAGCACTGAACGGCTGTTTCGTCTTAGTGTGGACTCCTCAGCAATGCACATCTACGATTCCGTCTCGCAAGATTCAAACCCAGGACTTATCTGTTTTGCACGCGAATGCTTAACCTCTAGATCACTGAGCTGGCCGGCATCCAAATGTGTTAATGTCTAACATCCACAGAATTGAGCCACCATCTACCATTGTCTTCAGTGAGTTACTATCTCACAACATATCCGGTTGAACTCCACTGGTCACTGCTTCTCAGAACTCCAGAAATAACCCTTGAAAGTAGTCCAGTACTTTCAGGTTCTTCATGGTAGTCTATATTCAGTTGACGCATGAACTCAACTATTATATTCATTTTGTATAAAATTTAACAAAACGTTTTTTTTCCAAACATTTCAGTTCAGTGTGCAAATAACAAAGCATTATATTTTGCTGACAAATTAAAAAATTCTATGAAAGGAGCTGGAACTAATGACAGAGATTTAATTCGTATTATAGTGTCACGTTGTGAAATTGATTTACATTTGATTAAGAGAGAATTTTACGATCTAGCTGGTGATTCTTTAGAATCTTGGATTGAAGTAAGTCAAGAATAATTTCTTACTAGTGACTTTATTAGAATTAAATATTTTATTTCAGACGTATATACATATTGTTATCCAATAAGTTACGATCTTTATGTCGGGCTTTTTATCACGTAAATTATCCACCAATCGAAATACGACTTTTCCAATATATAACTGTGCCAAACCAATGACTTTCAAATAGTATGAGCAGTCTAGCATCCTTATTGGTCCCATTTCCGCCTAGCTCTTCCGATCGAGTCCAGAACACCAATTACAGCTTCTGCTATGCGAATCATTTATTTCAAGCATACTCCGTTTATATACTAGACAGACAGACCGCATCACACCATAAAATAGAAAATAATATTTATACAAGATCAAGCCACATGTGGCTGTGAACGTGGGATACTATAATCAATAAACTGAATATAATTTAGGGACAGTAAATCGTATAATAATAATTCATAGGTCGAAATGAAACTTAGGATAAGATGAATATAGACATACACAATCTAATTACTCAATTGTAAAACATTAGGAATATATATAGAATAATCGTCCATTAATGGGTCCCGGAAGTTACCCGTATTTATTTCTTCACTAGGATATAACACATATGTATATGATTGTACTTCCAACGTAAACAAGGACATATTGAGTGAAACGTTGACTAAGTGCTCGATTGAATTCTTTTAATAGTGTGCCGCGTTTACGATTTCTGACTCACCACCTAACCATAGGATAAGATATGAGTACAGACATTTAATATGATTATATACTAATCCAACCTATCAGTATCCTACATAATATCTTATAAAGATCAATTATGTGCAGTGTATGGTCTGGAGTAAATTTGTTTTACTTTACACTGACACCATGAAAAGAATAATTTAACAAGCTAAAAATTAAAGAAGTAAAATTATTAATATCAATTGTAGTGAATTATTGAACACTGAGATATATTTCAAAGCAACTAACAAAAATGGGTAATTAATTGGCTCATTTATGTAAAGTTAAATTTGGTATAAATTACTCTTCAACAATATGTGCTAAAAGACATTGACATTGAATAGGAATAATATATTTGTAAAATCACAGCGAATGAATATGAAGTAAAGGCAAAACTAAACTACATGGACGACCTTTGAACAAATCTTAAATGACCTTGAGAAATATAATCCAATCAGAAGACAGTTAGTATACAGTGAAAATATATTATACAAAACTCAAAATTAAACAGGATACTGTTCTTTTACATGACTTAATAAGTTATCAAGGTTAGATATAGGTTCAGAAGTTCTAAAATCATAGTGCATACGAAACAGGAACTCATCCATGTGGCTCCATAGTAGTCGACCTCTGGAACCATTATAAGGTCTCAAAAATTCTTTTAGCCTCGACTACATAGCTTCAATGTTGTTGGTATGGTTTTGGGTTTAGGGTTACAGTTAAGGTTTAGGGTTATAACCCTTATAAGGATGAGACTATAAATTATGGACGACCTTTGAGCGACGCTAGGGTGACTCTGAGAGTGTCAACATAATAAAAAAGATTAAATAAGGTTATAAACCTGTGTGAAGAATTCAAATTATGATTTACAGTTCATGGTTAAGGTTAGGAATTATACATAGGGTTTTCATCAAGAACTGACATCAGCTATTATGCCAAAACTCTATTTATACAAATGGATAATTGAATTTTGCGCAAAAATCTTATGATCACTTCTCTTTTAGACGCTGAATTATCACGTCTTCTCTAAAAACCGTTGTAAACCGACCGTACGTAAGCATCAGGTACCGAGCTTAGCGCCGTGACCTTGAAAACCCGCGAAAGCTTCTGATTGGCTCGTCCATATAGTTTAGTCTCGCCGAAGTAAATCCAACGTTTTACCTGGCAATCCGGTTCAAGCTTTTCAAAGGAATATAATTTCCTATAATTCTTATTTAATGTCTTACATCAACTCGACGCCTCAAATCTTGTCAAACTATTCGCTCTAATTTAGACGAAAGTTCTTATATAATCATCAACAAGTTCTAAGTTGCTATAGGTAAAGATAGAAAGTATTCCTTTGATTATTCCATATATATATATATATAATAAAATAATAAAGTATACTATTTCCGAGGTCAATAGGATATAAATGGTGTTGTTTTTGAAATGTCATACATATGATATATGTATGTGATTAGTAGTGAAATTCAAGAATCACATTTCGTCATATTCGGAACAAATTAGCCACATACAGTTGTATTTCAGTTTTCGCATTCATACTATTATTCTAATCTAGAGTCTTTCACTTGTAACCTCAAAATATTATCTTTTGAACTGTTGAGACCAAATGATCATTAATTTGTTCGATAGATATAAAGTTATGAATTTATTTATTATTTTATTTAAACACATAAATATTGGTACAAGGAAGCACCAGATATGTATGCGCCACACAAATCTCATTCGATTTGTGTGGGGGTTGTGATACTGCCCAGTTGCTCAAACTGAAGCAGGTGGTTTTCTTACGGCGCCACAACCGGAGCCTTTGACCTAAAGATCTAATTGACAAGTCAGTGGAGCATCTTAAGGAGATGCAGTTCTATGGTAGCCGGTGATCAACGGTTGATTCATACGCTATTTGTTCCCTCAGGATACTAGAGCCCATGTACACCATTGGTTTGGGATCAGGGTTTTCCAACTCCCCTAGGTGAACTTTCCGTGTCTACCAACCCGGTTGAAGCGCCGGATATTCGCTTCCCGTCCTCTGTTCTTCGTAAACAACACCCCCGCCACGAGATGTCAGTGAGTAGGACTTCCGTGGAAGAGACTATATACGCGTGGCCATATGAGAGGATTTCGAGAGGGAGAGCGAACTCTCCCCACTCTCGACCGTACCAGGGCATTTGGGGGCATAAAGTTATGAATGAAGTTTAGTAATTTTTCTGTTGTTGATATGAAAAACTACAATTGATCAACCCCTTTTATTTCCTTTTATAAAATGGATAATATTACTATTCTAATCCTTTGTATTGTTATTTTTTTGTGTGTGTTAAACTATAGGGTGATACCAGTGGTGATTATCGTAGTTTGTTATTAGCACTTGTTCGTACAAATGTATAAAAAAAACAAAAAAAGAATATTGACTAGAATGAACGTATTGAATGTTAACATTATTTCATAATTAACTGGATCATATTCATTACAAAATGTTATTCTTATTAAATCAGTTTTCTCTTTTTTTTTCTTTATTAATTTTCAACGTTGAATATTTTAATTGGTTAAAAAATTTTTTTGTTACTATGCATATCTAATCTGGTTGTTTTTTTTTTGTTTTTCGCTTACGTCACCTATTCTTTCTACATTTCTTATTACTATTCATCACTATTATTGTTATTAGTATTACACTAAAGTAACTTCGTATGAACTTTACTTCCTTGAATATTTTGATAAAAAATAACAATTCCATAAAATAGATATAATACATCCGTACGTACATGCAAATAATGAATATTTTTTATCCATCTATTTTGTCCATTCTTATTTCATTAACCTTCATTTGTTATTGTTGTTTGTTTATTTTAGTTTGTTTGTTTGTTTTTCACGAATTTCATTTATGAAAATTGATCAATAAATCATTACCATTCGACTTATACATATGTCACTATATCTAGTAATGAACCAATTAAAAATTGTTTTGTGTTATTGACCTTGAAAAATAGTTACTATATGAAAACTAGTACAAATCCAATACGAATGATAATTTTAAAAAAAAAAAGGATCAATTAATTTTCCACTTTATTGAATGTAAATCACAAAAGTCATTCAAATAGACCAGTTTATACTTAGATATAATATAAATTTGATGGATAATTAGAGATGTGATAAAATCTACCGTGAAAAGAAAATAATTCACACTATAATTAGATAAAATATGAGAGATATTAACTCGCTGAAGACAAGTAGTGAAAGGTTGCTTAATTTCGTGGATTGGTTGAAGTTAGACATTAACACCATCGGATGCCGGCCAGCTCAGTGGTCTAGTGGTTAAGAGCTCTCGCGCGAGACTGGTAGGTCCTGAGTTCGACCGTGGATGCGCACTGATGAGGGGTCCGACAATAGGACGAAACAGCCGTCCAGTTTTTTCAGGTTTTCCATGGTGGTCTAGCTTTAATTGACTCATGATTTTAACTATGAAAATACTGAAATTTCCATAAAATCCCATCTGAAAATATAAACGAATGATCTTAAACAAATAATGAATTGTACTGTGTAGTTTATCAAGAAATCATTTTTAATGTTGACTAAACACGTCTAATTCATTTCTCTTGGCATATGAATTAATGATTGATCATATTATGGAATTAAAAGTTGCATTTTCGTTAGGCTTCAAAGTTTAACACACTTAGCATAATTAATATAATTAATTACTAATATTATATTAAAATAAAGTAATTGAATTCATGGGTCTATTAAAGCTAGATCACCTTGGAAAATCTGGAAGCACTGGACGGTCGTTCCGTCCTAGTATGGGACTCCTCAGCACATGCATCTAAAACCCCGCCAGAGGGGTTCGAATCCTGAAACTTCAGGCCCGCATGCGAACGCTTAACCTCTAGAACAATATGCTGCCCGGCATCCAATGGTGTTAGGGTCTAACATCAATCAGTCGACGAAATTGAGCCGCCATCCATCATTGTCTTCAGTGAGTCACAACAGAGGAAACGGCCATCTAATGCTTTTAGGTTTTCCGTGGTGATCTAGCTTTAATCGACTCATGAATCCAACCATTAAATTACTACAATCTCCACAAAACCCACTTTCCGTATTAAAATATGCTTATCAGTAACTTAAGTTTATGAAAGTGAGTTTGCTAGTCTTTTAATAAGCTTGATTGATTTCATTATCTCATCTTATCAAAATTACGCAACCATCAACAATATTGAATGCATATTAATCACACATCATAACAGAGCACTTGAGATTTTATTAGCAAACGAACACAGATTTTCGCACATCAGTCAATTATATACGTTTTTCTAATTTAGATAAATAGTTATTTTTTCAATCAATAAAATTGTTAAGTACTATGTCGTAGTTTGAACAATAAAATATATGAAATGTAATAATACATTACTTAGATTCGAAACATTAAACAGTGACGGTGTACAATCTTCGACTCCTCAGAATTGTTATAACTTGTGACCGCCTGGATGCCCTGTTAATGTATAACGTGATGATACCGCCAATTAGAGAGCAGTGGATTATCGATCGAACCAATGATACACGAAACCCGTGAGTGCAGTCTAGAGTACCTCTTCGTCCTGCCTTCTGCTTAGCCCAGCCAGTCAAGTTCACAACACCAATCTCAGACTCTGCAATACGAATCATCATATTTCAAACATACTGAGTTTATATACCAATCAAACAAACCACATCGTACCATAAAATAGAAAATAACATGTGTACAAGATTCAGCCAAATGTGGCTGTGAATAAGGGAGATAGCAAATGATAGACAGGGCATAATTCAAGAATGGTAAATCATATAACAATAGTTTATAGATCAAAATAAAGCTCATAATAAGCGGAACATGAACATGAATAGTCCAGTTATTTAGCAATCATACAGTAAAAGAAATACATATACTATTGGTTCATAAATAGATCCCAAAGTTACCATTCAATATTTTTATGGGGACATAACAAGAACTACTTTGAGATACATTAACAAATACATAACTGATGTTCAATGTGTTTCTATAGTTTTTCGTATTCAGTTTATGAACTTTGGAAAATTTATAGGTCAATTACAAAATATTATGAAATAATCCATTATCAGAAGGGGTTTTTGTGGAGATTTAGTATACTTCATAGTTGAAAGCTTGAGTCAATTGAAGCTAGACCACCATCGAAAACCTGGACGACCGTTTCGTCATATTATGGGACTCCGAAGCAGTGCGCATCCACGAACCCGCCTCGCGAGCGTGATTCGAACCCAGGACCTACCAGTCACGAGCCAGAGCCCTTAACCGATAGACCACTGAGCTGGCATTCAACGGTGTTAATGTCTAACTTCAACTGATCCACGAAGTTGAGCAACCATTCACCAATTCTCTTCAGTGAGTTCCTATCTCACAACAGACGTGGTTTTAAACTCCACTGGTCACTGCTTCTCACTAGAGCCAGCTCAGTGGTCTATCGGTTAAGAGCTCTGGCTCGAGACTGGTAGGTCCTGGGTTCGAATCTCGCTCGCGAGGCGGGTTCGTGGATGCGCACTGCTGAGGAGTCCCATAATAGGACGAAACGGTCGTCCAGTGTTTCCAGGTTTTCCATGGTGGTCTAGCTTCAATTGACTCACGCTTTCAACTATGAAATAATCCATTCATCGTAAGTCTGATTCATAATAGATCGAATCATGTATGATCCATGTTTAAACTGTGGTGAATATGAACTATGATTCAATTTTTTAAATTAAATCTATTCGTATAAAGTAGTGTGGGATTGGCGCCTGGCATTTCGACCGTTATCATATTAATCAACAGATTAAGTTAATTTGATAAGAAGTATTTGTATGAGTTTCCAAGGTAAATAATGTTCAAGGTTAAATTAATAAATCATATAGCAAAGATAAACGTTTTCTGGATGTATCCTTAATAATAAAACATTTTAACTCTTCCTTATTTAGTTATTAGATCACTTTTATATGTTCTAATTATTTCAGATTAGAAATATTATTAGTTTTGAAAAAGGAATCATTCATTCTAGAATTTAAAGGTTTTCGAGAAACAAGGTTAACTACTTAAGAGTAGTATACTAGTGTTCATGAGTAATAAACATACAACACGAAAAACTGACGC